AATATATATAACAAAAAAGGTTTTTTTTACGAAATAATAGAATTATAGATGGAAACCAGAATAATTACCAGCTCAAACAAGTTATATGCTCGACGCATCTCATCGATAATTCGATAGAACATCTTTGAAATTGCTATAATTATGAATATTTCACTAATAAAATTCTTGACTTTAAAGTATTGCGGCCATTTGGGGTGAATGTTTTTTCCTCTAACTCATGTTCTAACCACTAAAACTAATTATTGAACAATACCCTGGGGTACAGAAATTATTTACTATCGCTCCCCAGCGATTGCTGTTTTGACGGGTCGCGCTTGCATCGATCCTTAATTAAACCCCCGAAGCGAAACCAGAGCTTTTGGAGCTCAGAGCAATATTCTAACGTACGAATGTAACATAGCACTTAGAGTTTCTAATTTAGCATTAGAAAGAGGATGTATGGTGGCAGAAAGCCACAGGGTCACCGTAGGGGAGTCTGGCTCAATAACATTTGTCATAATATCGATGAGCTCTAGGAACAATTCATCAGGTGTTGCTGCTGTTACTACTTATCTCTTATTAGAAATGTGGTGGACCTCATTTGATGATAAGGCGAGAGGTTTTATGGTAGTATAAATGAGCACTACACTTGATGCTCGTGAAGTGTTTATAAAGTGTTATCATCTTTCTCATCTTCTTCCCGTTTTTCTTTTTTTTGTTTCATCTTTTAATAATTAATGGTATAATTCAGTGATTAAGACGGCGTAGATTCTAGATAGTTTTGGGGTATTCAAATGTCCCTTAGAAAAACATAGCTTGCATGCAGCCCCTATTAAGAGCAGCATGATGTATGCTGATAAATATCGTAGAAGTTATGAAGATAGATGCTTAATTAGAGAATCCACCCATCCATCCATCCATCCATCCATTCTCATTAATCTTTATTCTCATTTCCCATTTTTCCACCAGTGTTCATTCTGCTATGCTACATGAAACAGGTAAAACAAATCATCATGGCTGCCAAGAATCTCAACATGACCAACGGTGATTACGTATTCGTGACGTCAGACTTCACCATGGATACCACGCATAGCAACCTAAGTGCCTTGGAGTATTACCATGCACACAGTGACGTGTTGGATGGAATCATTGATGTCAGTGTCAATCTAGCAGATAACGTTGAATTTCAGCTGAATGCGCAAGCTATTGAGCGTGCAATGCAAACACCGGGGTCAGCGTTTTACAGTAATGAAACACGTGTCCACGAGGTAAGTTTGTAATAAGCCTTTTCATAGTTTAAGAACCGATTCCACTGCGCATGCGATTTTATCCCGAATTTCTCACCTTCTTTTGTTTAATTAAGAACAAAAGAAGGTTTAGACAAAAGAAGGTAGAAATTCGGGATAAAATCGCATGCGCAGTGGAATCGATTCTTAAACTGTGAAAAGGCTTATTGGTCAAGTACGTGTACCAGAACAAACTGGAGTAATTTCAATTGATCCGTGCAGAAACAAAGTTTCATAGTTTAGAGTGACGAGACGCTCTTAAAACTACTTTCTCATGTGTAATATATAATATACATGGCAGTGCTGTTAACCAGAAAGCAGAAAAGAGTCACGATTTGCACTGCAGTACAAATTCAAATATTGTTTGTACATTGTTCATGTATATTATTAAGTTAATATAAAATTGAAAATAAATTAACTTCGTTTATAGAGGATAAAACTTGACAGTAATTCAACTGATAAACTTGTCGGGTCCTCTGTTAACTCTCTAGTTCATTAGGGACGGGACCGCCATTAACGTGATCATCCGAGCCACGTGAAGGTCTAACCATTTGCAGATGTAATTACAAAGGCAGCACCTTGTCCTCAGTTATTTTAAGACCCTGAGTGTTGGTCCGGCCGAGGCTTGAGCAACGACCTCCCGCACAACAGACCGACGCTCTTACCAACTGAGCTAACCGGGTGGCGGTTTTCGGTTTTGGTTTTGGTTTGATTTGGAATCAATATATATAATTGCTTTTACTAATAATCAAATCAAGTCACAAGTAAAACAGTCCAATTAAGATTTCCTAATTAGCAATTAGTCCACGAGCACGAATGGACTATTGACTCATACGCCTCGAAGGCGAGAGGACTAAATGCTTGAGTCAAATCCAACTAGCCAATCAAATATTTAGATGCAAACAAGTTTTGAATTAAAATTAAATTTAATGTTTTGGTTTTCCCTACTAGTAGGATATAACTTATGGCCTAGTAGTAGCTCATCCAATCAGAGTGCAGCATTGATGATACTGGCCGACACTGGATGTGTTATGCTTACTATTATTATTTCACTGGTCAAGCAAAAGTCCAAAACTAGAAGTAGCAGGTTTTTTTTGCATTTTTGTATACAAACGGGATGGAACGAACCATAAATTCTTTGCAATTTTCCATAAAACGATAAAGTTTCTATTTAGCTTTTTTTTTAAAAAAAAAAAAAAAAAGAAAGAAAACTTATTTCCTTAACGGAGGAATACAATCACTCAAAATTACCATATTTATTCCACGATGCTTATGTTTGTAACATAAGTACTTTTTTATGATTTATCAAATTTCTTCCGCAGGTATCGCACTTTTTCGCATATGCCGCTGATGCCATCACTTTGTATGCGTTAGCGTTGAACGACACCCTTGCACAAGGTGGAAATATCACCGATGGACGTCATATCGCTAAAAACATGTTTGGCAAAACATTCAATGGTAAAATATATGCATCGGATATGACTATATAGTCTCTTATCTAAAGAGGATAACGTTTGAAGAGTAATGTTTATCAATTTTCAACCATGTGTCATTCTATTTAGTGACATTCATTTCCGTGTTTTGAAGAAGTCTTAAATTCAATATTAATATGACTCAACAGAATAGTTTATAATACCTAAAGTGGAACCCTCGGGTTCGTTGTTGAATCAATCTTTTAAATTCTCAATTCATTCCATTCTCTTGTATTTTTCTACCCATTTTTATTTTGCATTCTCTTCATTGACGGTTATTTCCGCTTTTGGAAGAAGTAAATACAGATAGGAGTCAACAAAAAAAGTATTCTACCTAAAAGGGTTTATCGTGGTTTTTTGTTGAATAAATCTAGTTAAAGACGTTCTCAATTGATTCTAACTTTACCTATATTTTTCCCTAAAAGAGTTTATCGTGGTTCGTTGGTGGAATAAATCTATTCATATTCTCTTGATCTATTTAAAGACGTTCTCAATTGATTCTAACTTATGACTTTACCTATATTTTTCCCCATTTTAATTTTCTTCTCAATTCATTATCTCTTTTTCATATTTCCCTGTCTATAGGTTTATCAGGTGTAGTGTCAATAGATGATAATGGAGATCGCATTCCATTCTACGAATTGCGTAATTTGAATAACAACTCATTCATTAAAATTGCATCGATTCTGACGAGTGGTTTGCAGGTTGTTGAGGATCGAAAGGTAGTTTGGTTTGGCGGTCAAAAAGAGGTTCCTCTAGATGAGCCTGTGTGTGGATTCAATAATGAACACTGTGGTAAGATTATTATCTTCATCACCAACATCACCATTATACATCATTAGCATCATCATCATCACCATTATCATCATCCCCATTATCATCATCACCATTATCATCATCACCATTACTGTAATTGTAAATGAATTTTTGTCAAAGCCAGTAACTACTGGAGTTGTATGAGCTTTGATATTTTAGCCAAGTAGTTACTGTGACTGTAAATGAATTTTCTTAAGCCAATAACGTTAACTACGATCATAGTTATCATCATCTTTTTCTTCATCATCATCATCATCATCCTCGTCATCATGCATCATCATCATAGTCATCATCATCGTCGCCATTATCAGGAGAGGAATTACTGTCACAATAATAATGGTGTCCAATGATCACATATCTGTTCTATCACATGCTTGTCATGTTTTTATTACAGACGATTCCTCAAAACTCGACAAGAAATTATGGATAGCTATTCCTATCGTTAGTCTTGTCCTTGTACTCGCTATGATTGTTATTCTACTTTCATATAAACGGTAAGTAACAGAATTCTCCTGATCCGATCCAGATTCTACAATTGATCATTTGCTCACACGTGTGTAACAATTAAATGTGAGATTACGTAATCTCACATTTAATACGGATAAAACGCGCAGAGTTTTTTTCAAAGGTGACGTTTTGGCTATAACTATTGATAGCTTTCATCACAATGATGATGAAATTGTGTGAAGCGAGTATGTGCAAACACAGCGTGGGAAGAGGCAATTAAGCGTTGAATGAATCGTTCTGTTTCTCCCTTGATTCGAGGGTTTTTCTCCAGCTTCTCCAATTTTCGTTCCTCTGTAAAAGGTTTCAATCGAACTGTGAATCAGACGAGCCCTTAAATACGCTATGGTTCAAACTGATCTCGTCTGTGAATTTTTACAAAATCAAGATCTTATTTATTTATTTATTTATTTAGCTTCGCCATTCAAACACTCATACATGAACCCACTCACACACACACACACACACACACACACACACACACACACACACACACACACACACACACACACACACACACGAAAATAATTACATGCATACATAACATAATGGCTGGGAAACCACTACAGCATGTGCCAATTACAATGGTCCCTCACATATTAACATTAATTTAAGAAAGGTTCGTTTGAAACAAAGTTATTTAAGTTATCTCAACATCAAATAATCTGTTTCACAGAAGAAACAAGATCAGAAGTCTATCGAGTGTTCTTATCAGATACGAGGATATTGATATGATAGGATGTATTGGGACAGATAACAAGGGAACCTCTTCTATTATGGTAAGTCAGGTAACACTAGGGGGAAACGCTTGCGTATGCGTGCATTTCAGCACGTTTTCTAAGAATTTTGAAGAGTTTGAGTAAGAAAATAAATGTTTGTTTTCTCCAACTATACAAAACATTTCGCGGGTAAACTCTTGTGAGACCAAGATACTGTATTAATGAAGACAATATGAAAGAGGAAGCCTTAAGTTTCAAGCAATGACTCTAAGTTTTGGCATTTTGTGATGTCCGTTTGTCAGACATGTTTGAAAGTTATTCTACTCTACTCTATTTAGCTTTCGCTGTTGTATCACGGGGTGGGCCATGGGATAATCACAGCAGAGCTAGGCTCCAACTAAGTGAAAGCCCAAAGATCGAATTGGAATTTAGAAGTTGATTTTTGAGGAGGGAGGAAAAAAGTCTCGAACCCAGAGTCCTTATTTCTTAATGCGCATTCTCGACAAGCATGCGCAGTAAGAATTAAAGGCCTGGGTACAAGATTGCATGAAGACTTTTCGACTAATTTGGATAGGGACTTGGAACATGCGCATACGTTTCCTCCTCGTGTCAGTCACCGCAATAAGCCTTTTCATAGTTTAAGAATCGATTCCACTGCGCATGCGATTTTATCCMGAATTTCTCACCTTCTTTTGTTTAATTAAGAACAAGAGAAGGTTTAGACAAAAGAAGGTGAGAAATTCGGGATAAAATCGCATGCGCAGTGGAATCGATTCTTAAACTATGAAAAGGCTTATACTCTACCAAGGGGTTGGGAGAATATACCTTCATTACAAAAGATACATACACTCAATTGAAAAATCGTTGTCGGGTTCAGAAACATAGAACATAAAAGCTGAGACCAAAATGGCACATGGGAAATGACATGATTATATTATGATTTATTCATTTGCGCCATCCATGCAGTCGGTTTAGAATGCCAAACGCGTATTAAAAACAGTGGATGATGACACGGATCGCCGGTCACAGCATGCATCTAATTAACGTACTTTCCGTGTGCCATTTCGGTCTCAGCGTCTATGTTTTATGTTTCTGAACCCGACAACGATTCTTCCATTGAGTGTATATCTAAACCTAACTTTTGCACACCAATAGCATAGCCTGGTTGATTTCTCTACTCGATCAGACCGATCTTCACTTCATGTCCCATCAGAAAGCTATGCGTTTATTGGAAGATACAAGGTAGATATTTAGAACACTAGTTATAGTTCTTTTATAAATCCAGGATTTCCCAGGATTTTTCATCATTATTCGGCGTAGTAGAAATCTTTACCCTGGGCGTAATGTTTTCCCATTTCAGGCGCGTGTCATTCTCTAGAGTATCATTTCTTTGTTTAAGGGTTGCGCACGAGAAGAGTTCTGATCTATTCTTACGAGCATGCAGGGATTTGGGGAGGTGGGAGGGCAGGGATGAGGGAAGGGAGTGTTTGCCTTCATGGGCCTTCCCCCTTAGATGAGATCTAACGATAAACACGAAAGATCTTAGCATAATTTTTCTTCTTTTTTTTCTTTCTTCTTCTKCTTTTTTTATTTTCTTTTTTTCTTTTTTTTAGAACAGGCAAGTCTACGTAAGGAAGTTAGCACTGCAGAATCTAAACTTAAATCATCAAATTGTGAAAGAACTTTTCCAGGTAAGTCAAAGAATATTACTATATATTTTCAAGATGATGCGCCCACGAAGGTGGTATAGAACTGAGTGACGGGAATATATCAGTAATATGAATGAGTGAGAGGAGAGGAGCTGAGAGAACCATGGATCTTTAGCACACGGCGCCATCTTTATTCCCATGAGCATCAAACATTTGTTTAGCCACGCGTAAGCCTTATTCTCAAGCGCTTAAATGCGAGGCCAAGCAGGGAAAAGCCTATTGATTCAGTCAACATGGCTGCCCCGTGATTAAGGTCCACATTCAAAATCCCATTTAAAAACATTAAGATTTAATCGAGTTTTTTGGTTTGTTTTTAGGTTCAACGAATACTACACGTTAATATTAATCCTATTCTTGGTGTTTGTATGACAACACCGAACATGTGTATTGTATCCGAGGCTTGCAGCAGAGGAAGTTTACTGGTATGTAAATCTTTCTGGTAATGGCATGGAATGGGAAGGGAGTGAGAAGGAATGGGAAAGGATGAGAAGGGTTGGTATGGGATGGGATGGAATGGGAAGGGAATGAGAAGGAATGGGAAAGGATGAGAAGGGTTGGTATGGGATGGGATGGAATGGGAAGGGAGTGAGAAGGAATGGGAGAGGATGAGAAGGGATGGGAAGGGATGGAATGGAATTGGAAAGGAGTGAGAAGGAATGGAAAAGGATGGGAAGTGATGGGATGGGAAGGGATGGGATGGGAAGGGATGGGAAGGGAATGGATATCATGATCACAGGAAGGGAATGGAGGGAAAACGAATGAAGAGAAGAGATAAAGGCACTCCACACCGGAGATAATGTTATATTTAACAGTAAAAAAAAAGAGGTTTATCGCTCATCCTCACCACGAGTACAGCAGCGGAGCAGCTTACCGGGGTCGAACTGCAAGCATGGGTTGTACAAAACAAGTGTTTTCAGGTGCAAGAATGAGAAGCCAAGCTCAGTAGCTTTGACTCTATTTTATAGGATATTTTGTCCAACGAGGACATCAAGCTCGACTTAACTTTCAAAATGTCTTTTGCTACTGATATAGCATCTGTAAGTATAAGTAGTTATCGATTCATGAAAATTTATAACATGTGAATTGCGCAGTCAAAGATTGCCCTAAAATTGTCAAAAAGGTTATTCAAACTATTTGTTGTTGAATCTTATAGGGAATGAAGGCGTTACACGCCAGCGATATACGTTACCATGGCAGYCTGACGTCATCAAACTGTTTGATAGACCGTACGTGGGGATGTAGGATTGGTGATTACGGGTTACGTCACCTTAGAACACAAGAGAAGAAGTTCGAGGGAAACTATGCATCACCTGAATACAAAGGTATACTTTGAGGGGTAGGGGGGTAGGGGGAAGAGTCATTATCTCCTTGTCCACGACCCCTCCCTACTGCGGGGGCCGTTCTCTTCTGAACTTTGCGTTGTCATTGTAGTTATTCTGTGGACGGCACCTGAACACATCTTGGAAAGAAAGCAAGGCTTCTTTACTGGGTCACAAGCAGGAGACGTGTACAGTTATGGTATAATCTTAAACGAGGTGTTCACTCGAAAAGAACCGTTTGCGCAACTACGCACCCTCGTTTCCATACAGGGTAGGTGACGTGATGATAGTCTGACCCATCCATGCATGCATCTACCCACTCATGCATGCATGCATGTATCCATGCATTTATCCATCCATCCAACCCATCCAATTTCATCGATTCTGTTCCATTCTATTCGACATATCACCCCATCGACTCAATTCCAACCATTCCATTCATCAGTCAATTCAACCCATCCTTCCATCCATTTTCTCATTGTTTTAATCCATTTTTTTGCTTCAAGAAATTGTCCGTCGCATCCTATCATCAGAAAAGCCTAATTGTCTACGACCTCCCACAAACAACGACATCTGTGAAAAACTCATTCATCGATGCTGGGAAGGTGACCCATCGACCAGACCACAATTCAGCTCAATAAAAAACACACTGAGAAAACTCAATGGAGGCAGGTGAGAGCAGATCGATGATAAAGATGGACGTCCTAATAAAAATTACTGACGGTGATGATAAGGCTAGACCATAGTGATGACAGATGATGATGATGATAATGCGATTTGATGTGATGATGCCAATGCTGTTCATGAAGATGATGGTAACTGGTGATTATGGTGGTGATGATGATGATGATGTTAATGATGATGATGATAACTGGTTATGACTGATGATAGTAGTGGTGGTGATTATGGTGATGCGGTGATGATGTAACGATGCTGATGCTATTAACGATGATGTTGATGACGACGAATATGTTGGTGATAACTGATGCCGTTAAATAAAACAATGATCAAGAAGATGATGATATTTCAGATCTCATCGTCTAGTCGACACCATGTTACGTAAGATGGAGATATACAGCAACAACCTTGAAGAACTCGTGGAGGAAAGAACACGACAACTCGAAGCAGAAAAAGCCAGAACCGACGAACTTCTATTTGAAATGCTCCCAAGGTAAGTAGTAGAATGACCGTAGGAACACATGCTTCTCGCACTGAACTGTGTGGTAACTAATTCAAACTGGTTTAGCTGTGTTACGGGATCATAAATAGACTGTATAGCAGCTGCCAGAGGCGCCTTCACAAGCTTTCAGTTCCACCCAGTTGAGCTGCGCCATTGCTGCACTTTGCGGTGACAAGATGACAAGTTTTGATGACAATCGTGAACGCTTATCACTTTCAAAATCATCCTCAGACCTGTTGCCGAGCAGCTGAAGGCAGGCAAGAGTGTTCAAGCCGAGTGCTTTGATCAAGTGACGGTCTTCTTCAGCGATATCGTGGGATTTACACAACTCGCTTCTTCAAGCACTGCTTTCGAGGTAAAAGACATGGCCGCCATGTTGGTTCATACTTATAAGCAGATAAATAGTTCCGCGCAGATACTGTTTAGTTACTAGATGATAAATAAGAAACCATTCTAAAGGGCGATTTCCTTTTCGAAAAGTGTTAATCCATATGATATAGGAATAATTATTAAATACTTCGTATTTTAGATTATTTAATTTAATGGGGGAAAATGTGTATGTCCTCTAATTACTACAAGAAAAAGGAGCAACTTTTCCCTCTCTATGCACGGTGAACGTCAAATAATGGATAAAGACGGGGGCAAAACCCTAGAACGATATGTTGCTAAACCATTCCGTTCCTTCAATCATTGTTGGTTGAAACATGGCAAATCTAGATCTATGGTTGAAATGATTATCATGGCGGCTATGACGTCACACCTTCTAAAAGTGATTCAGTCTAACTTCCCATTTCAGGTAGTGACATTCCTCAATGACTTGTACACGTACTTTGATAATATCATCCACCACTATGATGTTTACAAGGTAAGAAGGAAAAAAACAGATACAGAAATGTCTCCAGGCAACGAAAAACGCGTCCCACATGGAAATAAGTGCTCATGCGTAACTACCCGTCATTGACACAAGCGACATATTGGGTCTGCTGGTCATAGCAAGGGGTTAATCATCTACGGTCTAGGGGCCGACTACCCTCTCCCTTAGGCTTCGGGCGAGCTTCCTGATCAGTCTGTAAATCCAGGGATAGCGGTGTCGGGCTCGAAATCTCCGGCGTAGCCGTAAATGCTTCGCGCTGCCATACGAAGCTTCAGCACTCGATGTCTGGAAGTATGGTCCTAAATTTATCAGTCATTCAAAATAAACCAGTCTTCCTTGCAGATAAATTTTCAATTGCGCATACGCATTCATTCTCAGGTGGAAACCATAGGAGATGCTTACATGGTAGTGTCTGGGTTACCAGAAAGAAACCTTGACCGTCACGCTGGTCAAATAGCTACAATGGCGTTACATTTGTTATGTGACATTCGACTCTTTAAGATAAGACATCGACCCGATACTCATCCTGAGATGCGAATCGGTATTCATTCAGGTGATAATTCATTCTTTCCTTCATTTGTTTTTTCATCACTCGATTGCTTACCCTTCAGTTCCCTTTTTCTTTCCTTCGTTCATTCATCAACTCATCATTCAAATCATTCAACGACTTTGTCGTCCTTTATTTTTCAGCTTTCTTTACTCAGTTTCGATTCCACTACACTCATTATCTCACACATTTGTTCTTTCATTTCTTTTCTTTCAATTGTTAACTATTTCGCTCATTACTTTAGTTGCTCATTCTCATTAATCACATTCTTTTATTTAGCTTTTCCTCCATTCATTCATTCGTTCTTTTATTTACTTGTCCATTCCTTCACTTCCTCGCTCATCAAGCCTATCATTCATCCATTCGTTCACTCATTCTTAAAGTAGCTCATTCTTTATCACATCTTCTTACAATATCTCTATTCATTCATTGATTTATTGGTTCTTCTATTTCTTTTATTGACTTATTAATTCCTTCACTCGGTCATTAAGCCTACCATTCATTTTTTTCATTTATTCATCCACTCATTCATAACCTACTTCACAATCATTCTATTCTTCAGGTCCTTGCGTAGCAGGTGTGGTGGGGGTCAAGAAGCCTCGTTACGATATATTCGGGGATACAGTCAACGTGGCATCACGAATGGAATCCAACGGCGTGCGTAAGTACCCTCACAAAAACCTTGAAGCGATTTTACGTACAGCTTTTTTTAAAAAAAAGGTTAATGAAGATTTTTTTACAATCGCGACATTCACTACCGGTGTGAAAGCAATCAGCGAAAGGTCACATCGATATGGAATTTTCCTAAACGTTGCCTTTTCGATAAATGTACGAAAAGTTTGATTATTTTTCTCAGCCAACAGGATACATATCAGTAAAGAATGTCGACAGGTACTGATGAACCTTGGGGGATACCACATCGAACGACGAGGAGAAATTGAACTCAAGGTATTAACTATTTTGAATGATAAATAATTATACAGGCATACAGGCACCAATGATATTGCATCGAAACTTTTCATCTCGTCTAAACAAATTCTTAATTCTTAAAATTTTACGGTCCGACCATCCACTAAACTGAAGTCCAGTCCAATAAATCTGCAATAGGACGACCAATAGGACTTTTCGAAAAAAGTCTGATTGCTAGATTAGACTCAGCCTACGAACTGTCTTATTTTTGTCGTCCTTGGAATCCTTTTCATCCAATTATTTGTTCCAAATAATGTATGTAGTCCTATCACCTATCGTCATTATAATCATCATCATCACTAACATCATCATCACCTGACCATCATTATCATCATCACAAAAGTCATTTCCTTTATATCACCATCATCACAATCATCGTAATCACCACCATCATTATCGTTATAACGATCCTTAATGGAATAGTATTCTTATTGACGGGTTTTTTTTTTCAGGGCAAAGGTAGAGTCATCACGTACTTCCTGAATGGTAAAGACAACTTCAATAAAACAAGACCAGATCACTTAGAATTATTATTGTCTTCTGGAAAAACATTCGGTGAGTGTGGAAGGAAAGGCTAAACAGTGTCCATTTGAAGAGTACCAATTCAGCCGTCAATTGGTCGAGAAAATACTGATTCAGCTGCTGATTGGACGAGAGAATACTGGTTCAGCTGCTGTTTAGTCGAGAGGAATTGATTCAGCTGTTGATTGGTCGAGCGAATACTGGTTCAGCTACTGATTGGTCGAGAGAATACTGATTAAGCTGCTGATTGGTCGAGAGAATACTGATTAAGCTGCTGATTGGTCGAGAGAATACTGATCAAGCTGCTGATTGGTCGAAAGAATACTGATTCAGCTGCTGATTGGTCAAAAGAATGCTGATTCAGCTGCTGATTGGTCGAAAGGAATGCAGAATTAAGTAATTCAGAATAAAAACTGGTACGCAAAATGTTGGCTTGAAGACAGAACGAAAAGTGGGATCGTAAAAAAGATATCTTTGTGGAGCCCACTGAGTGATATATGATAAAGAACGAAGTTCACGATGAATAGAATATGTACAAAGAATATAACTGACGAGTGTGCTGATATGCACTTTTTAATGGCTCAATTAAGCCCTAATTCAACGACATTGGTGTGTCATCATTAATTATATAAATTACATACACTAAAATAAAATTTGAATCATTATCATTTTTATCCAGTTTTATAAATCTACTTATTATTCATCAATCTATTATTAATATTTCTTATCAATTATAAGTAATTATTAATATAATAATTACTTATTACATTATATCTTACATTATACTATGCAAGCTCCCAGTGATACAGGTATCTTCACAGTCAATGGTCTTCTATAACTATGGCTTTCTTGCATTACAATTTGTAAATTTTGGACCTTAATTTCAAAACTTCTGTCCCCATTCAATGTATGAATTAATTAATTAAAATTTATTTGCATAAAAAGAAGAAAATTCACTTTAATATTGGAGTAGTTTTTGATACCAAAGGATGTAAAACAAACTAGTCTAGAGACTACTGGAGGGGGGGTTGGAATGATAGAAATTGAAAAATAATTAGGCTAAAGTGAAATCTAAAACCTTATATGATGCCTTTCTAGGTAACAGTCACCCCTCCCCCTTGATCTAACCCTGAAAAAGGTGGTTGCTATGGCCATGGAAAAGCTGTTGCTAAGGTCTCAAACTGGAATAACCGAGAACGGCATGCATGAAAGAATGTAATGTTTTTACAAACCTACTTTTCTATCACTTCTCTTGTAAACTGCCTGGCTTTCTTGTCTGCAAGAAGAGTAAGAAAAAGAAGGTCAATAACAAGAACGTTTCTGGGCATTTAATGGTTTCAGGAATTTTAGAAGGGGGTGACTATTACAAAGGTTTTACCAGGAATTGAAGGAAAGGCGGGGTGACTGTTACTAATGATATACTGAGAAATTTAAACAAAAGGGGGGTGACTAGTCACCCTTTACCACCTGGATCCACCCCTGGGGTTGAACCTCCTTCATATTCATATGGAATTCATAATAACATAAGTAATATATACAGTATGAGTGGCCGTTTTGTATCAGATATACCAACTCGAGGCATAGCGGAGAGTTTGTATATCGGATACGACAGGGACACAAATACTGTAGATTGCTTGTCAAACGTCTAGGTTAGTTCCTTTGTGTTTCACTAAAATTTTCAAAATTAAAGTGAATCTGACCAAGAAAATCCAACTTAAAGTTTATGCAAATGAACACAATTTCGTATCAGATTTACACTCTTCACGGTCATGATTTCTATTGTGTTTTCCTCATGAATTATTAATGAGTTTGATAATAACATTTATTTAACAATTATTTATTATTATTAAAGCAGTTTTCGTATGAGTGGGAAATGATAGGACAAATCTGTAACCAATACTGCAGCCATATCATATCTTACCAACTTAGTGTTGTGGTTGGATGAATTACTTTAAGACAATTATTGGAAGCTACAGCATGTCCTACCACGTAATTGCTGTAAGTCAGTACAAGTATGTTTCCAACTCATATGGTAACCTTGTTTACAGGAAGACATTTCAATGTTATAGCATGTCGTACCATGTACATGAGCACTGTGAGTAGTACTGTATGTTTTCCCCCTCATACGATAACCATTCTTATGTGAAGCCATTTCAATGTTATAGCATGTCGTACC